TCATACTTATAAATCCATTCTCACAAAACTATATATCTCCAAACTTTTTATATATACAGTAATTAAAAAAAAGTGTTTATACACAATAAAGCAGCCTGCCAAATTTGTCCAATTGGGAAGAAAGATTTGATGACATACTTGAACAGAATTTTCATACGAGGTGGCATCCCTACTGGCGCTCTAAATGGAAGGAATGATGCCTATCTGGAGGCCACCTATCGCAGAGGTTTTTGTACAAACTGGTCCACTGTACTAACTTTTCTTTATTGGTCATTTAGCATCATCTGACCGGATTATGGTAATGAATTCTTTAATCCAAGCAACATTGATAAGTGTAGTCATAAAATTTACCACCGCAAAACTGTTTTATACACAATCGAGTGGTTTAAATGTGCAAGAACAGTTTCGTGGTCTGCAAAAGTCAAGCTATTCAACAGCACTTGCTATTCCATATTAAATTATGGCTGTCAAGTTTGGGGGTTCCAACAGAATGATGAGACTGAAAGTGTTTTAAAATCATTTTCACTTCCATTATCAACCCCAAATTATGTGCTATTTTTGGAAACTAACCTCACCCCTTGCTTCTTATACACCCTTAATTGCATATGGGAGGGGGTCTGTACGGTATTAAAACATGATGATTCCTGATTTACTAAAATAACAGCGCATATGGTTTTTAGACGTAGCTGCTCCTAGTGTTTACCCACTGGAACTTCCTGGCTAGGGAATTTTTTTTTTTTTTTTTTTTTAATTCGAATGCAGGGCCGCTGGATTCGAACCCGGGACCTTTACCTTACAGTGATGAGCGCCGTGTCAAAGACTAAACCTTGCGGCCACCGACGCCCCCGAATTTTATTATTAATTTCATTTTTATTTTGGAACCTGAAGCAAGGAAGCCTGGCCAAAGCTCTTGAAGAAACTTATCAAGAAATTTAAAATCAGCCACAGAGCAAATTCTTAAGTAGAGCTTTGTCATCCTTCCAGTCATTATGCTCTATATAAAACTCTGGATTTATCCTTACACTTATTCAATCCAGAAAACAATTGTTTGGCTTTCATAAATGTGAGCTTCTGTGGTTTTTAAAATTAAAGTGTGAGCAACTGTATGTAAATTACATGTCAGGAAGGGAAAGAGAAGGACGTATGAATAAGACTTAGGGGGACCTCCGTGGTTGAGTGGTTATGTCATTCGACTCATATATGCCACACTAGCAGTCTGGGTTTGTTAATTAATCCCAGCACCCATGGTTTTTTTATGAATGAAAATTTTATGAAAAATGTATTGTAAAGTGTTTCTTACACCTCATCTATCTCACCCAATAGGTAGTTGGACGTTAAGTTCTTCTGTATGACAGAAATTACTTTACTCTAAATGAGACTTGTTCTATGTGCAACTCTGGAGCAAAGGAGGAAGTTGTCCATTTTATGGTCAAATGCTCTACTAGTCAAGCTGAGTTTCAGTTGCAATAACTTGGCCTGCAGCCCTTTTCAAGCACACAGTTCTTTTCTTAACAATATTAGTAATTGTGGGGTTCTGGCTCAAGATGCTCGACAAGCATGGCAATAGGAACTGATTCAGGAATTTAATTGGCAATGATAAAATCTAGTGTTTGTTTACAGGCATTAACTATAACATCGTTTATTTTATAGTTATTCATTTTTCTACCCCAAATTGTCAGAAAGTAGTTTTAAATTATTTACTTTCATTTTTGGCAGACAACCCTGACAAATGGGATATCTTCCTATGTCGTTAAATATTTTCAAGTTTTTTTTTTTTTTTGTAAATTAATGTCAAATGCATACATAGGTATATTTTCTTTGGTGATTGATCAGCCTTCTCAGTTTAAATATTTTTCTTTCAGTAGATTGGGGATGAGGCCAGGAAGACAGAAACAACATTTATCTTCTTGTCGAGCTTTTGGCAGAATATATCGCCTTCATCAGGACTTCGAAAAAATCGTTATACTATATGAACAGGTACATGTAACAGGTATATTAATGCAAAACAAATTATGGAAATAAGGTATTTCTTTTCTTTCTTCTTCTTCATCATAAATTTTGATGATCATTAAGGATGCAAATGATGTTTTTTGGTAGGAAGTCAATGATGTCTTATAACTGACTGTTTTTTAGGTAAATATAATATATATTTATTCTTGGAAATATGACAATACAGAAACACAAATAAAAATTATCTTACATTTATTTACAGAGGACTTTTTACAATGACAATTCAATTATTGGATTCAAGCTTTTTGTATCTACATCTAAATGTAATCAACTTAAAAAACATAAAAGAGTGATCTGTTTAGGTACAAAATATGTGCTAATATTTATATGAGTAAAATTTCATTTGGTTCTATTCTCAAGTTTTAAACAAAATTTACATTTATTCCCTTCCGAATGCACTGTAAAACCAAAATTCTTAACATGAGTCGATAGGACTTTGGTATCTCACAACCAACACTTATTTTGCAGAAGTAATTTAGCTTACTTAATATAAACCTAACATACGTATTTGAATAGTTCGTGCATACAAATCAAATCCTTTGTATTTGAATGGGATATTACACTCTGATTTGCTAATTTATCTAATTTTGAAACACTTAGCATCATGTTGTTCCATTACCCTAATATTTAATAAATGCATGAATAATATAACTTTGAATGATTTCTAATGAAGGAATTAACACGGCATTATGTATTTTTTATATCTGGATTTAATCAGTCTGACAAGGAAATGCAGGATCCAAAGAAAAATAATAAAGCGTTAATTTAATTTTACTCAAATAAATTTAAACACAACCACACATGCCTGTTTCGATCAGCCAGAAAATAAACACTCACACAAATATTTATAATATGTATACAATGTATATTATTTATATACATTCATAGTGAATTAAAGCTGATTACCAAAGTTTTGAATACAAAATTTTTCCTAAATATTAATGTAAAATCAAGTCAGATTTTGACCATTTTTTGTCAAATTTAAAAATAAATTTACAATTGTTACAATCAGTCAGTTTTTTAAATAACATTTAATTTAATTAATTAATTTTTTACAAGAACAATATATGTTTTTGTAAATTTGTTAATTGTTAGGCTATATTGACAGCAGTATACAGTAGTATAATATGCTACATTGCATGCTTCCTTAATTTAATAACACCCATTGGTTCAGCCTCAATGTATATATAAACAATTTTTACATAAATAATTATATAATAACGGATATCACATGCCAAACAACCTTACAGATTTCCCTTACATAACATTATTGTTTATTATGTTTGTTCGGCCTTTTGATGATCGATGAGATTTGATATTTTCTTAATAGAAAAATTTGCAATTTGCTATTTTTATATCAGCACTAATCTGATTTGGGTTATTAATTTATTTTTTCCCTTAGAATCCAAGCCAGTATTTAGTTGAGGAAAGAAAAGACAAAAACTGTTTTCAGGTTTTCAAATTATATTAAGAAAGGCAGTTTGATAGCTGTTAAGTCTTTAACTCAAGTAAATTTAAACACAACCACCATTTAATTCAAAATTAAAATTGATTTTCATTGTAAGCATAATTCAACTGTCAAATATTATAGAAAACATTTTTGGATTTTTAAGCAAATGAATTCACTAATACTGGCAATTATTGGTATACATAAAAAATAATAATAATATAAATAAAATTTATATTAAAAAAATTAAAAAAAAACTGAAACATGTTTTTAACATAACACTGACAAATTATTCATAAAGACACAAATAAGAATAGAACATTTAGAAAATAATGATTGGACAATTATCAAATAACTAGTTATTTAATGCAACCTATTGAAAATCACGAAACTTTAAAATTATTGAGTTCATTAGAAAAACAAAAGCAAATAGAACAAATCCACATTTTGTGTAATATAAACATTTTTTCCAATACTTAGCTGTTAATACTAATTTGATTCCAAAATAATTAAATATTTGCATTTTAATATTTTTTATTTTATTTGACGCCACCAAAAGAAAAAGTTAATATTTTTAGTTAAGGACAGAATGATAAAACATTGGATTTCCTCGGTGCATTACTGTATTTTAAAAATATATACAAATTTTTAATTTACATTATTAGAAAGAATCCTTCAATTTTTTGCAGTTCTCTTGGCTGAGAAAACTCCGAAAGAATCTTTGTTATCACAGATTTGATTGATAGGAAAATGTGATTTATGGCTATAACAAATATTATCATTTCTTAAGGCGTCAATTGATTAATTTTTATTTGTGCATAAGCAAAACCATTGAAAAAACTAGTTACATTTTTGTATTAAACAAATATTGCTTAACATAAGTGTTATACTGAATCGCTTTATGTACCCATACGCTTTACTAAATTACTGATTTATATTTTTAAAATTAATGCTTTAACATTTAAAATACAATTTATAGAACAAAGAAACCCCTACTGTGATATAATAGTCAGTTCTTAAACAATACATTCTTGTCTGAAAGTCAATCAGTTGAAAAATATGAAAAAAAAATGACAATTTTAGGAGAAAATTTTACAATTTGAGAGTATTTTTATATCTTATGTTTTAATTTATATAATAAACTTAAGGAAAACTGAATAGCAAATTGGTATTTTCTGTCTGAAAGCTGAGTTAATAACAGTTGGAATGGTTAGTCTATGGAAGTAAATAGGCAATTTAAATGTATCTGAATACGTAAAATTGCACTTGCTTTTTTATGCCGAGACAAAAACAACAAAGCATACTTGATTAATGGATTTCAAGAAAAACATTATGTACATAAACAAATCATTAAATGATTCAAAAATTAACTTGATTCCCATGCTTCAAGACTAGCATTATTATTCCCACACAAAATATATACATAAATCATCTGTAAGGCCATATATAATAACAAAATTTAAAAAACTATCAACAATAAATATTATACTATACACAACTTGTTTTAAATATCTTAAAATAATTATATTTAACGACCGTCACATTAAATTCAAAATTTATTACAACAGTAGAATAATTTAGAGACACTGTACATATCACAACGCAGCAAAGTTAAATGAGATTTTTAAAGAATCCATTTCTCACCGATTAATAACTTCCATTACAAAATAAAATATTAATATTAAACTGTAAGAATTTAAAAACAATAATGTACTCCCTCCATTAGGTGTATCAGATTTTTTAAGCCACAATGGAACAGTTCGGTTGTTGAGAGAACCAGGATCTAACTCTAATACATCTGCCTGCGCAGAATGAGCAGCAGCGACAAATATGTTCTCCCCACTTGTCATCACGTCAAAAATACACCAATCTAGATAGTAATCAGTTAATGTATTCTTAATATCGGCATTGCCAGTCCCTTCTTCGGCACCGCCATTATTTGTACAGTTGGCATATGCACTTTCCCAGAGTGATGAGTGTTTAATACTTGTCTTGATATTGAGCAATTCATTGCTAGGGCAACCCTTTCGACATAGGTCGAATCCTTCCTCCTCACTTAGATCTACAATCTCCTTTGGCATTCTGCTTGAAAATGCTAGGTAATCACCAACTCTTCTTAGAATCAAAGTCGCATCAATGTATCTAAATATAAAGAATTTAAGTTAAAATTGAAATGTCAGAATAATACAAAATCAATTTTTGTAAACAAAACAAACCTTATGTAAATCTTGATTTTTTCATTTCCATCAGATTTGGTAGCTTTTATTGTGACACTACCTTCTGGGCCAGCTTTAGACGATCCGTCTATAAAATACGGCTTTAAAGGAGCATCTGCTGTGGCCTCGTACGTCTTCTCTAAGGCACAGTTTCCCATTTGTTTTATGATGACAGTAAGCTTAACAAAAAAAAAAAAAAAAAAAAATTCCTTAAGTTGTTTATATTCAAATGTTAAAAATACACCAGAAGACAGAATGTTTACATTTAACAATGAATGAATATTTTTATTCTTGAACAATATTTACATTTTGTTTGAATAGGTCATATTTTACATTTTTAAATATCTACATTTTATTATTTACAACCTCTGCATTAAAAAATTCATTCAGAGTGTAAAGTGGGTTGTTTTGTAGCCATTTACACTCTTTTTTTAAAGACCCTTGCAGGTAATTTAGTTGTATGTACAGGTAGTTTATTAAACAGTTTGACGCCTACAAATTCAAAATTATGACTAATTTTAGACTGTTTACAGAATGGATTATTTAACTTCAACTTATTTACTGCTCTAGTATTATGTTTAATTACATTATTTACGTAGGTGTAATTTACAATGTAAAATATATAATAATGTGGGGCATTGTTCAGATTTATCACATTTTTTATATTTACAAAATATAAAACACAGGGCTCGTTTCTTTTCAAGTAGAACGTTATTCTTACACTTTTTTTTTAATAATGACATCTTTTACATGAGAACAGTTCCCCCACACTAGCAACCCATAGCTCATGACTCCTTGGAAAAGTGCAAAGTAAACTAACCGCCACACCTCAAGCGAGTTAGTATCCCGAATTTTTAACATTAGAAAACAAAGGGAAGACAACCTACTCACACTATCCTTCACATGTTGGCACTGTGATAAATGACTACCAATAATGATCCCTAATATTTTACTAGTATTTACGTGTGTGTATCTTTTATAGTTAAAGGACACTATCATTTATTTGGATTTGAGTACATTCATCGACATATAATTATTTTCAAATCATTTGGAAATGCTTTTTAAGGAGTGAGCTCAATCTTGAGCCTTGAGGCACCCCATGCCATAGGAAAAAAACTGATAGTTTTAGTGATATTAAATTTTCCAATTTAACACAGTGATATCTATTTAATAGGAAATTTTTACATTAGTCAAGGGCAACCCCCTTACTCCATAAGCCTATACTTGTAACTTGTCAAGAAAATGATTCACCGTGTCAAAAGATTTACTGAGATCATGGTCAAAATTTTTGTGCGTGTAGATTTTTTTCTAAGTTAGAGTTTACACAATTTAAGAGGGTGGCCAGCATATCGACAGTACCAATGCTATTTCGGAAACCAAATTGATTTCTCACTAGAGCCCGATTTGGGTTTAAAAATGGAGCAGACTGTCATGATACAAAGGCTCAAAAACATTTGAGAATATTGGTATGAGAGTTATAGGTCTGAATCTATTTGGCTCATTTTTACTACCACTGCCTTTATAAACTGGTGTAACAATATATTGTTTTAAAACATCCGGGAAATAACCTTCAGAAAGACATAGCTTAATTAGATGTGTTAGAGGTGCAATTAAGTGTGTTGCAACACTTTTTAAAAAGTTATTGCTCATACCATAATATTCACTAGCATGAAAACACATAAAAATGAGGACGTTACATGAACATATAAATAAAACCCTTACTTTCATAATTGCTGAGGCATTAGAAGAGTTGACAACATGCAAGTTTGTTACTTGGACAGCTAGGTATTTGTTGACTATAAGTGGCCATGCACCCAGAGTTCTGCATGTTTCATAATTTCCAGAAAATGTTTTCAAATGGGGATCACCAAAAAATCCACAATGCTGGTAACTCATCGGTCCACTAGGTGTGTATGTGCAGACCAACGGTGGCTTTTGTCTTGTAGTAGACAGCCTCTTGGTCGGCACTGAAAGGTGGACATACTGTGAACATTTGAATCTCTTCATAAACAGATCAATGTAAGTAGTTGACGTGTGGTATGATAAATTTCCTCGGCATTCTTTTAGTGCTTTCCTTAAGCAATTACTGTATGCTTTGAGCTCAGCACAAAATGTAGGACTCGATTCATTCACGGTAATACCAGCAGCTTCAAGGCCTAAGTTATAGTCTCGGTAACAAGTTTCAATTTTGGCGCAACCAGAGCAGAAACCTAAAACAAATTAAGGTTTAATTGTATATTTAATGAATAAGAGAAACAATGAAACTGAAAAACTATTATCTTAATAAGTTTTAAAATTTAGACCAACTCACCTAGAAACAGTAGGCACAAAAATATGATTGCACCTGGAGGATGAACCATTCCAGTTTGGTAATGTGTAAAATGTGCCATGAGCCATTCAAATGTAAATCCTAAAAATAACATATATTATTTAATTAATGTATATACATGCTCGCACGTGCATACACACACAACAGTAAGGTGCCGGTTTTTCAAAGTCAAAAAATTGTCATCCTGTGGTTCCAGAACCGGGTCTTCTTCTATGGTAGGACCAGTTTCCCGAAAATGTCTCATGGCCTATCGCATGGTTCTTAGGGAACGTAGATAGATATAGAATAAATATATAGATAAACATAGATAGCAATAGTCGCACATCCTCAGCACTAAATGGCATCAGTGGCACACACACTGACAGGCAAAAAACTCTCACGCTAATGACTCGGCTACCGCGATCCCCAAACTTTGATTAATATATAAAAATATATACAAATAAGTTATATTACAAGTGGGTGGAAATATATATCATCACCCATCCATTCAAAAGGAGCAGGCAATTGCAGCGATGCCTCCATCCAGACTACCTCCGAAAGCATTGCCGGAATGAAAGTTGACCAGATCATCCTGGGAACCCAGACCCCTCCTCTATAGACAGAGATGAGAATGCTCACCGAGGAGGAGCTATTGGGCGAGGAGACACCTCCTCCTCCCCCAAAAGAATAAACCAACATGGAGAAAATGAGAATGGGCCAGGTGAACATCCACCATGCTAGAGCTGGCTCGGCAGTAATAGCTAGGATGTTCACTGAAAACATCTATGGGCAATTCTCATCCAGGAACCCTGGCAGTGGAAAGGACAAATTAGAGGTTTGTCTTGCAAAGATGGTAAGGTTGTATGGGATTCCAGACAGGATAATCCCTGTGCATGTATACTAATTAGGAAAAACATTAATAATCTCTGTCTTGCAGAATTCATGTCTAGAGACCTAGTTACCATCAAGGTAGAGATAACAACCGATGGGAAGAAACTGGAAGCAGTGGTAGCATCGGCGTACTTCCCAGGAGAGGGGAGGACCACCCTCCCCCCAAGAGCTACAAAGACTAGCCAGCTACTGCAGCAAGAAGAACTTCCCTTTACTGGTAGGATGCAATGCCAATGCACATCATCAAATCTGGGGAATCACCAAAACAACAAACGAGGTGAGTCATTCATAGAATTTTTGGTGAAGGAAAAATTAAAAATACTTAATATAGGGTCAACCCCTACCTTTGTCACCAAAGTGAGATGAGAAGTATTGGATATTACCATTTGCAGCCATGCCCTACATAAAGTGATAAAAAATTGGAGGGTCTCAGGTGAAGAGTTGATGTCAGACCACAAAATAATAAGGTTTTACATCGAATCAGTAGGACAGACCCTACACCATTTAGAAACCCCCGAAACATGAACTGGGCAAGGTTCACTGAGATGGTAACACAGTCTAAACCAGAAAACAGTGAGGAGAAAACCAAAAACCTGCAATGAATTGGAACTTGCAGTTAGAGAATTCACAGGGAATATAACTGATGCAGTCAAGCTGCCCTGTGAAGGTACCCAAAAGTAGACAAGAACCACCTTGGTGAGACGCAGAACTGGTCAAATTAAGTAAAGAAACCAGGAAAACATGTCACAAAGCAAGAATAGCAAGTAACTGGGGAGGATACAGAACGTTATTTACTTTATACAATCATGCCATCCGCAGGGCGAAAAGAGAAAACGCAAATTCTGCGGTGAAATCTCCTCAGTATCTACAGCAGCCAGATTGCATAGGGCACTAGCAAAGATATCACATACTGTACCAGCTAACCAGTGACCTAAAGGAAACAAAGGAAATAGCAATCTGCACGTTCCTCGATATTGAGGGAGCTTTCGAGAATGCATCTCATTTATCAATGAAGGCCTCCCTGGGGAAAAAACACATAGACCAAACCACATCTAGATGGATTGGAGAACTGCTAAGAACTAGAATAGCTGAAACAAATATAAGAACAGACACTATAGAAGTTAGCATAACCAAAGGATGTCCTCAAGGAGGAATACTATCACCTCTTCTATGGAGCCTAACAGTTGATGAACTGCTCGAGACCCTGGACTGTTCAGGAATAAAATGTCAGGGATATGCGGATGACATAGTCCTGACTGACAGGGGAAAATTCGAGGAAACTCTCTGCGATCTAATCCAAGAGGGACTGAAAATCACAGAAGAATGGCGTAAAAGCGCAGGCTTAGAGATTAATCCAAACAATACAACTATAGTCACTTTTACACGGAAAAGGAAACTAGATCACATGAGAGAAATAACACTCAATAATACTGTGATAGAAATAAAAAATGAAGTCAAATATCGGGGCATCACACTAGATAAAACACTAACATTTAAGAAACACATCAGCTCCATCATCACAAAGGCGCTATGAGCTTTGAAGTTGTGCAGAAGAATAGCAGGAAGAAACTGGGGATGCAGGCCAGAAAACCTGTTAGGGATGTACACCATAATAGTAAGACCTTTACTTACATACGGAGCTATAGCCTGGGCTGATAAAGCAGAACAAATAACCAAAAGGAAATAACTCACAAAAATACAGACTTGCATGCGTCTGCATAACGGGAACAATGAGAACATGTCCTAAGAAGCATGGAAAAGATATTAGGACCCCTACATCACATGGTAGAAAGGACAGTACAGAAAACCATAATCAACTTTATCAGAGAGAAACCTCCAACAGGAATAAAACTGAAATGGAGAGACAGAAACAAACTATGGAAAGACCATCCATCACTCATGGCTCCAAGAGACGACATGAACAGGATGTTTGAATTTAATCAAAACTTCGAAATACATCAACCCCCCAAAAAAGAATGGAGACGAGAGGGAAAGACCTCCTTCAAGAATGGCACCATCCTCTGGCACACAGATGGATCTAGAACACAAGAAGGTACAGGGGCAGGAATATTCGGTCCTGGAACCAAATACTCAGAACCCATGGGAAAATACACCAGTATCTTCCAAGCTGAGATTCACGCAACCGACAGTTGTACCCAATTCAATCTCAGTAAAGGGTACAAAAACAAGAATATAGCTATCATGTCAGATAGCCAAGCAGCCATCAAAGCACTAAGCTCAAGTATCATTAGTTCAAGGATGGTGCTGAACTGCAAAACCAAATTAAACATATTAGGTATGCAGAATAAAGTCAGCCTCTGCTGGGTCCCAGGACACAGGGGAGTAGAAGGCAACGAGGAAAGTGGACACCCTTGCAAGGCATGGAGTTGCTACACCGCTGACAGGACCTGAACCCTTCTGTGGCATAGGAACCCACCTTAATGAGTATCTTAGACAGAAGGGCAAAAAGAAAATGAAGGAACAATGGAATTCACTCATTGGACACAGGCAATCCAAGAATCTCTTAACAAATGTCGGAAGAAAAGAAGTCACAGAATGTGTCAAGGGAAGCAGGAACAAACTGTGAATCCTAATAGGATTCTTAATAGGACACTGCAAGCTAAATGGACACTTAAAGAAGTGTGGAATAATCCAAGACGGCACATGTAGATTCTGCAGAGGCAGAGGAGACCCAAACACATCTACTAACAAACTGCGGAGATACATTTGTCCGCATATCTTGAGGAAGTGTTTTGGGATGTACAACAGAGAAGAGATTGAAGAGAACCACTGAAACCTATTAATCAAGTTTCTTGATGAAATGATGTGCTTTAGGCAGAGAACGGGGGAAACAATAGCTTTTAAAGGGCGCATATTCTATTACATTTACATCTGCCCGAATATTATATATATTAATGTACGAAAATCCGAATTCCTCTCAATGAATGTTGGAAGGGTTTTAGGTTTTTCAAAAAATAAAATCAGAGATGTACTCCGGACTTACAATTTTAAGCCGTATCACTCTCATCTTGTCCAGGGATTTCGGGACTCTGATTATGACAGGCGTCTAAAGTTCCTTGCACAAATTTGTTGTACTCAAACGAAGTCGAAAGAAAATCCTCATTCTCGACTTCCGTTGGGTTAAATAAAACCGTCTATGATCAAAGAAAATTTCCCAGATTTACCGTGTCCCCCACCCTGCCCAATCATAAGATTTATAGGGTCATATTTGAAATTTTGAAGTTGAACTGGGCCTGACGTACATTGGCCAACAACAAATATAATTGTTCTCCAAAAAAAGTAAAAATTTGAAACAAGATTAAAAAATATTAAAACCATGTTTTTTTGATAGTGTTATTGGTTCAAGAGAAATTCAGCCGGGCCATCTAAAAAGCACACCCTGTACATGTACGAGTAATGTACAAGTGTCAAGTGGTTACGTAAGGTTAATAATAATAAAAATAATAATCATTGTATTTATTCTAAGAATAATAAATAAAGCATGTAGCAAAATAGAACAATAGTCTCAAGAAAAAAAATGAGAAAGAAAAAGTGTACAAAGGAAAGGAAGAGGCTGAGTAATAGAGATAGGATGTGAGTGTAGAAAGAAAGGAGAACGTGAATGATAGAGAGTGTGTGTGGATAAGTGAATGACGGAAGAAGAGAGAGGAGAGAGAGAGAGAGAGTGAGAGAGGGTGAGAGGGAGAGAGTGAGAGAGAGGGAGAGAGAGAGGGGGAGAGATAGAGAGAGAGAGGGGGAGAGAGAGAGAGAGGGGAGAGAGAGAGAATGTACGAAAGAAAAAAGATACTGAGTTATTGAGAGATTGAGTGGGTGAGTGTAGCAAAGAAAAGAGACTGAATTACTATGATGACGTAGTCAAGAAGATCTCTTGCTCTCTTCTTCACAAGTTATTTATAAATTTAATCAATTCAATTTAAATAATCACTTTGGTTAACTAGGAGCAACAAAAAACATATAGATTAATATTACTTATAAATATGAATGTACTACTCTTATGTACGAACATAGCGTTTTAACTCCACATTTATATACATATTTAACGCAGTTGAAGATATGAAATATACTCGATCCCAGCAATAGAGCCAAAAAAAGAAAAAGAACTTGGAGTTTAAAATTAAACATGACCTGCAAATAAAGGTTAGAAGAAAAGACCAAGTACAAATATCCGCGTAATCAAAGAAACGGAAACG